CTAAGGAAAAGAATATCTCGTTGGAGGAGGCTAGAAAACGTACAGAAGCGTCCCTTGCTCGCAAACGTAATAATGCTGCTCTTGCAAACAGTGCCGGCTCAGGTGAAACGTCACAACTACCTGCCTCAAGCGGGGCCATGGATTCTCTTTTGGAGAAGTTACGAGCTGCAGCTCCTCAGGCTAGGGATCAGCGTGACCGTCGACGTCGTGCTAGATTGAAGGAACGACACCAGATTCGCGTGGCTTCGGGCCAAAGGATGCCAGACCTACCTGGGGCTGAAGGCACGGAAGGTGGTGGAACCAATGATGGGAACGAAGTCAATGACAATGTTGCCAGTAATGATGAACCAAATACCACAGAGACAGGGCTCCTGAGCCCCCTTAGCCTAGGCTCGGACTCTGGGATCACAAGCAAAGATTCGACTCAGATCTCAGAGAGTGAAGATGTTGCAGATCGTGCTGCAAGCATGTTGCAAGGTCTAAGAGATAATACCGATGGGGAACGGTCCAGAAGACGAAGGGAAAGCGCTGAAGAAGAACGTCGACAACGCAGATTACGGAGACGGAATGGACCAACAGGTGGGAGTAAAGACAGTGCCGACGGCTCTGCCCTGTCCCCAGTACCGGAGCCCATGACACCGTCAAGGATTGACTCGAAAGGTTTAGAAGAGCCTATCGCGACTAGTCCAGAAGATGTCATTTCGCAGCGACCGGTTACTCCAGTCATCGTCGTGTCTCCAACAACAGAACAACACCACCGCTCTTCAAGTGATGATGAACCCGATGCCGACTCTCCTGGCAGATTTTCCGACCCGTCAAATTGATGTTTTCGCCTCTTCGGCTTTTCATAACTCCTGCTTCTCTCTCTCGCTCTCTTTTCTTTTCTTTTTCCTTTTCTCCTAATATAATACCTGATAGACTAGCGGACATCGACTTGGAACATTTTACCTTACTGAGTGTATAATATTTTGCTCCCCTTTATTTTTTCTTTTCCTTCGTCTGTCTACTTCTTATTGCATCTGAGTTGTCGGCGTTGAAGGCCCTCAGCTAGCGTGATGGGTCCATCCTTTCACTGCTCTTCCTTTACTCCCTTTCTCTTGTTACTGGATTTTCCAACGTTATTTCAAGAGTACATTGTTTTACCGACTTCCTTGCTTCTACAGCGAGCGACTCCTTTGTTTTCAGTTCCCATCAGAATGTCTTTCAGCTTCTGTCTCGATTTCCCACTTTGTACATACGTAACGTCATATTTCCTTCTGGGTTGTACGCGTGATATCTCCTTTGATGTGCATGGTTAGCATTTGTTGTTGCATGTCGGTTGTGGCGGGTAACCGAGCGGCTTTTTTTTTTCATGGTGTATGGCCGCGTCTTTCGACGCGCAGGCGTGACGAGGCGACGCAGCTATCATTGATTTACCTTCAAACAAACATTCATCTTATGAAGTCGGTGATATTTATGCATCAGACACGCTTGTGGTTGGTTGCACCGTATCTTACCTGACGATGTTGAAGGTCACCGACGACGGAAACCATACATGATAACTTCGCTCTAAGGACCATAGGAGCATATCATATCCGAACAAAAATAGATATTAGGGAACTATAGATATATATCCTTAAATACATTCTACAAGATAACAAGGAGGTAAAAATGCCCTAGGGGAAGAAAAAAAGATCCAAAATACTCCGTACATGGTATTGATATCCCATATGCCCACGTGACCATATGTGATAAATCAACTCTTCCACCTGCTTGGAGAACCTTTGTTTCTACTATCATACTTATTGTTTGATCTTGCCGCAAGTGCCGTTCTGCGCATGCGAGCGTCTTATCTTCGAAACCTGCGCCGGGTGATTCCCTTTCGCCTGTCATGGAGCAGGCATAGCTGCGCTTTCCTTCGGGAACATGCCCATCCTTCGCGCTATGTGTTGTTTCCACCTCCGGCGGTACCGCAAAGCCGAATGTTTTCCGTTTCGAGACCGACACAGTCACATATAGATGGAGACTCTACCATCTACGCCCTTTCGACTGCGTCTGGTCGAGCTGCCATTGCGGTTGTGCGGGTATCAGGTCCGGGATGTGTGCGGGTGAGCTGAATTTATCTACAACCTGTTGGGCTGCTAGGTGGCTGATGTCGTCTTTCACCATTAGATATATCGAGCGTTATGTCCAAAAGCGCCGCTTCCCCGACCGCGCTGTGCAGCTGTACGGACTTTATTCGACTCTACGCGTGAATCCTCCAGCGCCAGCGTCCTTGATGCAGAGGCCCTGGTGTTGTATTTCCCAGCCCCCAAGACAGTCACAGGGGAGGACGTTCTTGAATTACATCTTCACGGTGGGCCAGCAATCGTTAAGTCTGTCCTTGCAGCTATTTCCCGCATGAGTCAGCCAGACTCGCTCGTTCGTTACGCCGAACCCGGCGAATTCACCCGTCGTGCCTTCATGAACAACCGACTGGACCTTCCGCAGATAGAAGCTCTTGGCGATACTTTGTCTGCGGACACCGAACAGCAGCGTCGCCTGGCTGTTAGAGGTGCTAGTGATGCGTTGTCTAAGCGATATGAGCAGTGGCGACAGCAGCTGCTCTATGCACGTGGGGAACTTGAAGCGCTGATCGATTTCGCCGAAGATCAGCATTTCGACGAGTCTTCTGATGAGCTGGTACTCTCAGTTGCATCGCAGGTACAGGCACTGCGGGTCCAGGTTGAGTTCCATATTCAAAACGCCTCCAAAGGAGAGCTATTACGCCATGGAATCAAGATTGCTTTGCTCGGGGCGCCCAACGCGGGCAAGAGTTCTTTATTGAACCGGATCGTCGGTAAAGAGGCTGCTATTGTTAGCACCGAAGAAGGAACCACCCGTGATATCGTGGATGTCGGAGTTGACCTGGGCGGATGGTACTGCAAGCTTGGCGATATGGCCGGAATCCGTTCCGAACTTGTCAATGGGAAAGGATCGATCGTGATCGGGGCTGTCGAAAAGGAAGGTATTCGGCGCGCCAAAGCTCGCGCTCTGGAATCCGATGTTGTTGTTGCGGTCTTGTCTCTGGAGAAAGCCACCTTCGGTGACATACCGTATCAGCTGTCAATCGAACAGGAAGTAGTAGAGGCGGTCAATGATTGTGTTGCAGCTGACAAGTGCATCGTTATTGCAATTAATAAATGCGACCGGCTGCCCTTGGATGACCAGAACGGTCAGCTTCTGCCCCAGCAGTTGCTCACCACAGTGGGTGATATATTTCCTACTGTGCCGCAGAAGCGCATCTTCGGCATCTCTTGTCATGAAGCGCAATTGGAATCCGCACCGGAGCAGAAAGACCCGGGCCATCTACAAGAGCTCCTCCGCGGGCTTATCTCTACTTTCGAAGAAATTGCATCTCCATCGGGTATCGAAGGTGATGCGAATGGGGAATATAATCTATCGTATTGGGAAGATTCTCTCGGAGTGACGCATCGACAAAGTTCTAATCTACAAAGATGCCTGCAACATTTGGATGATTTCTTGACCCAAACTTCCAGAAGCCATGCGCCGCCAATGCTAAGCCATGAACATGTGCGACAGCCTATTGAGATGGACATAGATATCGTGACAGCCGCCGAGCACCTGCGCTTTGCGGCCGATGCGTTGGCGACAATAACTGGCAAGGGCGGGAGCGGCGACGTGGAGGACGTTTTGGGGGTTGTGTTTGAGAAGTATGTCTCGCTGCTCATCCGGAGAGGTGTTGGCTCTTGCTAACTGTGTACTAGGTTTTGTGTTGGAAAGTGAACCGCCAGAGTGTGCGCCAACAGAGCCGCTTTTAAGGATGCCTCTCTGCTTCCCCAGTTCACCTCCCACACCACAGGAGCTGCCCCATGGCCGTCCATATGAGTGCAGAAGAAGCAGTCGATGGTTCAGGTAACCCAACTATTTTTGCCGTTATCATTCGGGTCATTATAACCGCCGCGACCTTGCATGGCTGCGAGGTCGGACGGGCCGGTTATGTGAGGAGGGAAAGTCTGGAAGACCGAGGGGGCGTTATAATCTCCTCGTCCCATTGACTGTTTGGCGTCAGTCGAGGACCAGCTAGACCAGCTACCCGATATATCCATCATCACTCAAGACCTTTATATCTACAGACTGTCTTGAGACTATACTAGAGTCGAGTCAGGGAGGTAGGAAAGGGGTCTGATGGCAATAATAGGAAGAGCACAAAGAAAAGACTAGGATCATAGAGGCGGACGAGAACAAGTGATGAAAGAACAGAAGGCGACAGCTTGGTATGGCCTCGACTTTGTAGATGATTGTAAATAGCAAATAGTAAAGAGTAAAGAGTAAAGAGAAGAAGGCTATAGGCATGAGTCGTTTTTATACTCTCCGGGACAAATCATGTCTGCCTCAAGGCATCCACGGCAATGAAGCAAAGCAGCAATGACTAACAATATAATTCATGCTGCCTGCTTATTTTCTTCCGCTCGAATCCTGAACTATCGCCTTGCTTCTCGAGTTTTCCACAGGATCTTCCAGAGGTGAGATTGTTCTCTTCTCTCTCTCTTTTTTTGGGGGGAAAAGACCGGCCTTCTTCACTTTCCGGCGACCTCTTGAGAAAAACTGCCGAAGACATTCCAGGTGCATCAAATCATTCTCTATCGGTTGACACTCCTCTACTACCCGACTACTCCCTCCTTCCTGTCTTCATCATCATCATCTTTTGTCCCGGGAACGTGCCCGTGAGTCATGCCGGATGCTGCAAGCCTATTGGGTAGTGCGGCCTGATTCCAGGACAAGTGCTCCAGATCGAGGAGTCATCGATCCCATCATGGATAGAGATGGATACCGTCTACTAGTAGTTTACCATTTGCCATAACCGTTATTCTGCGGGTTTCCCCGACCACATCACCTCACGGTCTAGTTGATGGAGAGGCTTGGCTGCAGCTGATTTACTCAACCCTATGGGCCGAAAGTCTCAACAATCGTTTCCACGACCGTGTGGGCTTTCCGCCATGTCCATTCCAAGTCGCTAACTACACGACTCCTTCTGGTGCAGTGTATACCGATGATATTGACTCTGCGTCAGATTCTCTACCTGGGCCCTCACATGAGTCCCCTCGAACTAGTTTCACTGCAGGTGACGGTTCTAAGACAGGTTCATTAATCATCGACACTGGGGATGCTGTTGAGCGTGGCCGGGACCATTCCTCTAAAAGATGGTACACGGTGCCTGGAGGTAAATTGCTTGGCGCTGAGCCTCCAACCGCTGCTGAGTTTACACCCTCCCGCAAATGATAATTCGAGTCCTCATTTTGCAGTATTTCTGCTAAAGCCTCAGGGTGCCGAGCGCGAGGTGTGACAATGTGCTGTTCTGACGAGCCCTGCTCCGGTAGAGCTTGCAGGAGAGTGCCAGAGCCACGGCGGGGCCTCATATTACGGTGCATTTGCTCCGGGGTAGTGGATCGACTGGGGGGTAGGCCTTGTTCCAGTGTCCCGGGTAACTCTTGAATAACTGGAACCTGTCCTGTGAACGGCACATACTGATTTCCAGCCAGCCCCGAAGACCGGGTTTGTCCCCTTGTTGGCACATCACCCAAAAATGGAGGAACTCTGGGTGGAATGCTCTCGGTAGTTGCTACTGGCCGCCGCTGTGACTCGCTCAATAAGTCCTGTATCACCTTCTTCTTTTCCTCAGGGATATCAGCAGAAGGTGAAAAGCCAATCCTTTCCATCGTAAAGTCCTCACTTGCTCCCTCCATGACCCATCCCGTGGGACTGCAGGACAGCAAGAATCGCAAAACATCTGGATGCCCGTAATGTGCCGCATGATGATACGGCTGCCATCCCTGTTCATCCTTTTTCAGGACGGAAGCCCCGTGCTGAAGCAGAAGCGTTACAATGGGCAGGTGGCCTCCCATTGCGGCCAGACAAAGAGGAGAATCCTCCTGCAACTTATCGTCGTACGGTAAAGATAGAGGTGAACCCCGATCTAGGAGATGTTGAACTGCAGCTGTGTGTCCATACCGACATGCTGCACAAAGCGCTCGGTCTCCAATAGCATCTCGAGCTATCAAAGATGCGCCTTTGTCACAAAGTAAGTTAAGCAATGCTATGGAACCGCGAGCTGCGGCGAGATGAATTGGCCTTTGTTGGTCCTTCGTTTGCACTTCTATATTGGCGCCCGAGATGAGCAGGAGCTTCACAATCGCAGTATTATCAGTTTTAGTTATACAAGCATAGTGAAGCGGAGCAAAACCGGAACGGCACTGCGTTTCCATTGGAACACGCTTGCGAAGGAGTAATTCCACAACGGCAAATTTAGAATTCAGGACAGCCAAGTGCAGAGCTGATCGACCAGCAATGTTGGCCATAGCTAGAATGTCTTTCTTCTGACTAAGAAGGTCAACAACTTCTGTGTGTCCATTGTACGCAGCCCAGTGTAACGCTGTCATAGAAGCATCATCGACCTGTCTAGTGGATGCCTTTCTCTTGAGCAAAGCCTGCGTTACCTGCAGCCGGCCCATCGCTGCAGCACAAACAAGTGGCGTCCTGTTATCACTTCCAACCGCATCGATGTCCGCTTTGTGAGTAAGAAGAAGCTCAACCACGCCCATGTGACCCTCTTCGCAGGCGTGGTGCAGTACTGTCATCATCGTTCCATCTCTGGCTTCCAAGTCGGCCCCATTCAAAACCAGAAATTCAACAACGGCTTCATGGCCCTCCTTTGCGGCAGTATGCAGCGGAGTCATTTGGTTTTCAGCGCGCGTGTTGACCTTAGCTAGACCGGCAATCAAGATGTTTGCGGCTTCAAGTTGTCCATGCTCTGCTGCAAGCCAGAGCGCGGTTCTACCTCTGGAATTTGGGGCTTCCGTATCGATGCCTTCCAAAAGAAGCAATTTGAGAACCTCACAATGGCCGCGAGAGGCAGCAAGGTGCAGGGCAGTCGACCCTGACTTATCTGTGACATTTAGTCGAGCGTTTCTTTGAAGGAGCAATTCAACGATTTCCTCGTTTCCACAATGCGATGCTACCAGTAATGCATTTCTTCGAGTGTTTACATGGCAGGCTTCAATATCATGGCAACTTTCTATAAGTCTCTCGACATCTGAACGAGAGCCTGACTGGGCTGTCTTGACAATAAGTGGTGCAGCAGCCCCCTCGGGTGTTGTTAGGTCGATGCTGGTATGCATATCTCGCCCATTGATCCGCCGTGCTGCCATTGACCCGCCTGTTAGGGTTCGTATAGGAGCTTGAGCCGCTGACTTAGAGCGACTCAGTTGCCGGAAGGCTGCACGAATCTTTTCCCGCTTGGAGCTCGAAGAGCGACTGATGGGGGAAGAGGGTGTGGAGTCTGACTGCCATCTCTGGAATTGTGTTGGGCTCGACTGAAAGTTAGAGGGTCTGAATGGCACACTCTTACTATGGCCATGTCCCGAGCGGATTGTGTCATATGGTAGAACTGGCAGTACAAGACTGCTTGCCCGTGACATATTTGGTGTGTTCCCCGAACCGCTACCATAGCCTTCATCGGTACTCCGGCTTTCATTGCCATTACTGGCAGTAGATTTCGTTTCCGTTCTTGACCACGAACTATGGAGTATACGACGATAAGGGGGAGAGGAAAGTAGTCTACCATCGAAGTCAAAGATAGTATCTCCGGACGAAGATTGGCGATGAGTCAGGCTAGAGCTATCGGCGCGGGAGGCTGCGTAGCTGCCTGAGGACCGAAGTGTCGCTGTGTCACTGGCAACCCTCTGGATGATTTGACGGTTTTCCGCTTTGCGAAGTAGTTCGAGTTGGTCAGATGTCGATCGACTACGGTGGGTCAGCCCAAATATGCCTGTCGTTAACATGTAAATAGAATCTCACCATTGACAGGCCTGAACCAAAAGTTGTAGCGCGAGAACCTGAGCGTGTAACCTGTCCTGATGGCCTCGCATTATGTCTTCATTCCATAGGATCTTTACACGAGTGCCTATCCCAAATTGTGTGTCATTGCCTCTGGTGAGGGTAGCGACCTGATCGGAAAGAACGTCCATGACGGCGCGGCAGCCATCCAACGCAACAAAGAGGCCCTCGTCATATTCATTTTGTTCAGATGTGTCGCGGGTATTGTGCCTTGCCCACTCATCTAGCTCTGAAATGGCATTTCTGATGGTCGTCAGCTCTGAAATGAGTGACCGAATTGTGAGATCTGCGTGGCTGAACTTCTCGCGCAACGTCGCCAACCCCGCAGCGGTCTGTGTGATGATCTGCACAAGCTGAAATGCGCCAGAAATCACGCCAAATATAGAGCCTGGATCCATAGGAGCGTAATCCGTTTCGCTTTATAACGAAAGTATCATTAGGGGAAGGATATAGATGAAGGAAAGAGGAGTGTTGCGACAGGTCGTGTGTGCGCTTCCGTGACAGACAAGTAGACAACCCTAACAAGAACAAAGTGGCAAAGGCAATGAATAGCATGCAGATCACAACTCCCCCGGGGAGAGAAAACGAGAAGAGAAGAGAAGAGTCAAGATAAAAGCACGACTTGCGTAGAGTCCACAGCTGCGGCGTTGACGAATCGAACCCCAGAAACCCAACGCCAATTCTTTGATAATGCTTTGGGGGAATTTATAGGTAAAAGAACGTTGATTAACTACAGCGGAGAGTGTATGTAGGCTGGCAAGACAAGGGGGGGCAGCTCGATGGTCCGAAACACAGCCACCAAGTCTAGAACAAGTCAGTCGCACAGGCAGTGCATCTTCGCTCGTCGCATCTTACAGCCACCTCCACTTAGTCAAGATTGGACTAATCATAATAATCACGATGATATAAAGACATTATTCGAAATACACAACAAAACCGCTCTTTTGTACATGCAGAGCCGTCCCAAACCGTCTAACGCACCTGGCAACTAGAACATAAATCCACGGTAAGGGACAGAAAAGAGGAAAATATCTATCCATGCAGGAAAGGGGATCAACATGCTCGGGTATAAGATCATTTGGGGTTGAGAAATGTTCAGCGACTTCGAAAGTGAAGTGTTTAAGCCCCAATCTCGTTCTTGACCCATTTCTCCAAACCTCCCTTGGCAATAATTTCTTGCACGTTGGGGGGGAGTTCACCTACCTGGTGGGTCCACTTGGGGCCATTCTCTCCCTCCTGAACCTCAATGCGGCTTCTCCGGACGTCCCAGGTTAGGGTCCAGCCAGTGCGGTGCGTGAGAGCTTTGTCACTTCCTTCTCCAGCAAAGCTCTCACGGAGACGGTTGATGAGACGAGGAACCTCTAGACCCATCAGGGCATTGTTGATACTATTGCGAGAGAAGATATTGCCAAAGCTTCCCGACACAACGAGCGGGATCTTCTTTGCCAAAATGGCAGTCGCTGCCTGCTCTCTGGAGCTTCCACAGCCAAAGTTGAAACCAGTGACTAGAATATCACCTTCCTTAGCGATCGACGAGAACTGAACATCGTAGTTGGACATGCAGACTTGAGCCATTGTCTCTTGGGAAACATCATCTTGGTAAGTGTATTTACCAGGATAGATACCATCGGTGTTGATGTTATCTGCATCGCAGAAAACGATTTCACCCGAAACACGCTCTGGGAATCCAGGGTATACCTCCGTAAGGGAATCACCTGATGATTCCTCACCCTCTTCTGGAGCAAACTGCTTTTCACCATCGGCAACCAAGTTATCAATCTGGCCGATTAATTTCTCCAAGGCTTGTTCAGCGGTAAGCATGCGATCCTCCTCTCGAATTCCATCTCCCTCTCCACGTACAACTTCAGTCGAACCTTCCGGCGCCTGGTACCAGCCGGGGCCGCTGAGCTTTCCGGTCAAAGCGCTAGCGGCAACGACTTCGGGGCTACCAAGGTATGCTTTCGCATCGGTGCTACCCATACGGCCTTTGAAATTACGGTTCGAGGCACTGATTCCTACTTCACCAGCCTCTAAGAGACCGGTTCCCAGCCCGATACATTGTGCGCATCCAGGTAGTAATGGCGTAGCTCCGGCATCTAGTAAGGCTTGCCAATCACCCGCTTCTTCTGCTGCTAATTGCTCAGGGATAGACGCAGCCGCAACATAGAACTCAACACCGTCGGCAATCTTGGGGGCTTTGCCGCCATTCTTTTCCGCAGCTTCCTTGAAAACTCTAGCAGCTGCAGCGATATCTGAAGCCCTCGAATTAGTGCATGAGACGAGGTATGCCTTGTTAACCTTGATATCCTGCGCCTCCAGGTCCTTGAGAGGGGTGGCAACCTTGACGGAGTTTGGACCGGAAACGTAAGGGGAAAGTGTAGAAAGATCCAGGAAAAGTTCCTTAGCATATTTGGCTCCCTTGTCAGCAGTCAGAGGGTTGGCAAACAGCTGCTCTAGGAGAGGGTGTGTGAAGTGCTGGGGGGCTAAGGTCTTGAAGGGACCCTCCGCAAGCCCCATGGCTGCTGTTGTAGCCTTGCCTTTCAACCATCCTTTCAATACACTATCAATTGGGAACAGGCCAGACAAGGCACCCCATTCTGTTGTCATGTTGGCGATCGTTAACCGGGCATCTACCGATAGACTACGCATAGTCTCCTCAGAGCCGGTAAATTCAATTGCATGGTTCAAGACATCGTCCTTATCAAATAATCCACAAAGAGCGACGATCACATCCTTACCGGTCACACCTGGTGGTAATATACCGGTCAAAGTGACCTTTGCAACGGGTGGGATCTGCCACCATGTCTTTCCAGTAGCCCAGATGCTAGCACCGTCCGTTCTCACGATTGGAGTGCCCAAGCAGCCGACGCCACCGTACATGTTACTATGGCTATCGGAAGCGACCACAAGAGTACCGGGCCAAGCATAGCCTTCTTCCACCATGACTTGATGTCCAATACCTCTTCCAGCGGGATAGAACTCAACTCCCTGATGCTTGGCGAAGTCTTCAATCTGACGATACTTTTGTAGGTTCTTCTCCGACTTGTTCTGTACATCGTGATCGAGCGTCATCACAATCTGCTTCGGATCGTGTAACTTTGTTGCACCAATAGACATGAACTTCAGAGCAACAGGCCATGAGTTGTCGTGAGTCATACACCGGTGAGGCGAGATAGTGACATAGTCGCCGGATTTGACGAATTTGTCCTTGGCCAAACCAACGGAGTACTTCTGAACAATCTTCTCTGTGAGTGTCTGCGGAACGGCTCTTGAAGCCTGAAGAGAGGAGTAGACTGCAGCTGACGAGGGATCCTCCAATTGCGACTGAAAAATATCTTGGAAGTAGAACCTAGTGGAGGCGAACGCACGTCGTTGAGGAGTGCTCGGCACGCGCAGGGATGCCCAGCGCCTGCCAGGGCCACCGGACGGCATCAATCGAGACTGCATGGGGTCAGCTAAACAATTAAGGCGATATGGAAGAAAGGACCTACAGCCATTCTTGCCAGGAGACGTTCAAGAGTTGACCTTTCTTGCGAGCGAAAGTCTGGCGAATGAGAAGAAGCGCATTATTTCTCACTCTGGGGATGCGCCGATAAAAAGCGGCTAGAGCGCCAAGACTCTCCGCTATCGGAGGTCATGAGTCAAAGTTATCGACAAAAGACCCGATTCTATACTTCTATACAGATATATACAAAATAAAGATATCTAGTTTTTCCCTTTCCCTTTTACCATCACTTAACCGTCCGGGAAATCGGTCGTTAGAGTTTCCATACAGCCCAATCCTTCAAGTCAAGTTCCTTGATGATCCCTCGAAGCGGTCCTTGAAGCTCCATACCTTGCGCCCAGAGCTTTGGTCCAGCCATGTAGCTAATGAAGCCTTCTGGTCCCGAGACTAATATCATCTTGCGTTTCTCAGATCCCTCAACTGGGATAGCAGATTTCGTAACGTCTGATATAGTTTTTTTCCCGATAAATGTGTATTCCTCGTCAACAAAATAGTCCACCGTGACCTGTCCCGGATACTGAGACTTGAGAGCCTCAAGCTCTCTGACAATGAGTGAAGGGAAAGGAGCAGTCCTATTCACGGGATCAGCCGGCAATGGATCGGCTGGCGATGACTTCAAGAGACCGGAGAACCAGGACGCTCGCGATCTAGACGCCATGGTATTGTCATTTGTACCACCAACACAATCATCTCGTCTCCTATTCGCCCAAAGGATGTGTATCCTCGGTTTATGTGTTCCATTTGTGCGGCTAAGGAGCGTATGTCCTGCCTGTAAGGCAGGAGCGATACCAGTTCCACCGGCAATGAAGAGAATCTGCTGGGTATCTAAAGGAATTTCGCACTCAATCTGTGGACCACGCATCTCTATGCGAGTTCCCATGTCCAGACCATGCAAGTACCGGGACATTTCGCCGAAAGGGTCCCTACGAATGAAGAACCGTAGCAACTCCTCATTTTCCTCGACCGACGTAGGAGGAAGAGGTGTATAGTCTCTTCCAATCTGTAGCTGCGGCTGTTTGAACATCACACTCCAGACACCCGTCTTCCATGCTTCGTCATAGACCTGACAACTATCATTGGCCGGCTTAAGCGCTTTGAGAGTAAAAATGCTACCGGTCGACGATACCGGCTCTTTTGACACTAGGCAATATGGAGTAAATGTGATGGGGTTCAGCGTTGTAGATTTCGATCCTTCTTGGGACCTGATATAAGCACCAATTCCAGCTGCTGCGATGGTCACGACAGCGACTCGAAGCCAAGGGCGCTGTTTCGACGGCGACGATGCAGGGGAAGAGGAAGAGAAGGCATGGCGTCTCCGTATCCGACCAACTGACCTACAGAGGGGAAACGGTGAAATGAATAGAGACAAGGTCCGAGCCGATGTTCTAGGCTTCATGAGATCGTTGGGAAGAGAGGGAATCGGACGGGTTATATCTTCATATTTTCGCTCAGTAATTGCGGAAAAGATCTGGGGCACGAGGACGCTAGACCTGATCTGGCGGAAACGACGATCACTCTGTATTCTTCTACAGCGCCGGGGCTGGTTTTTTTCTTCCCCTGTTTCTTTCAGCCAAGAAGACGAGAATTCCTTGCGGTCACTTCTGTGTTCATACAGGGGAGGTTTACACATAAGCAAGGGAAGCTCGTCTTTCTCTCTCTATTCGTTGTCGCAGCTAACCTGGCATGGATTGTTTTCATTGAACTCCCGCTTTCATTAATCTCAAACCCGGACTCCATTAAACCACAATGGTGTTTTTGAACTCCGAAAGCAGGTCAGCTAATAGCCATGCGCCTCGGGATTCTCTAGAGCTCGCCTCCCTCGCCTCCTCCTCGCCCGAATTGGACGCAAGGTCCTCCAGCTCCTCCCCCTCTGGTATTTCGTCCTCCCGAAAG